GTCCTCGCTCCCGAATGCATTCCGCATATACCCTCGTGTACTTCTCTCGTCACGTAGTCAGCCTCGACGGAGTTTAGGCACTTGAGTAACGGGGTAGAAAAACCGCGTTTGTACAACTGGCCGGCAATGACAACGTATCTGTTGGCTTGGGTTCTTAGCCGTTTGGCCTCGGTCGGATCGGTCGGCGTGGTTCCATTTATGAGAAACGCTCTGATTTCGGCTCGCCAATCTTGGGAGTCGTCCTGATCGTCACGGTCGGCATTGACATTTGCAACCACTTCTGCATCGACACTAGGGTGGTCGATCTCTTGCTGAATGATCGTTCTCAAATGGCCTGACTTTTTAGTCGCGACCAACCTAGCCAACTGACCGGCTCGAGTGTTGTCTTCGCGTGGGATGTGCTCGACCGACACCTCCTGAAAGTTCGTCTTCAACTTTTGATAGGCATGATAGTACTTCATCATGTTGTGGTTTTTCACTTGGAAATTGTCGCCGACCTGCTCGGCCATAACTTTGGAGTCGGTCAAACATTTTAAACTTTTATTATTGAAGTGCCTCGTTAAAAACCTTGCCGACCCAAAACCCTCCTTAGGGAAAAAAGAGTCGGCCAAGGAAAAGAGTGTACTGTTACATCAGCTGTAATACATTTTCAGATGAGAGGAGTTCCAGGTTCTCGGAATTGGTTCTCCCGATAGGTGCTCCAGCTTGTACGCTCCGTTGTTCAAGTTGTGTCGGATTCGGAAGGGACCGTCCCAGTTTGGGGCGAGTTTTCCATGTCTCAGATCTTTCCTTGCCTCGCCTGTGGCTCTCCAAACAAGATCGCCCTCGCGAAATTCTCTAGGCTTCACCTTGCTGTCAAATCTTCTTTTGTAACGTTGCTTGGTGGCCTCGGCCACGACTTGTGCTCGGTCTCGAACGTCTTCCGCGGTGTTCAGGTTCACACGGAGCTCGACTTCGTTGTTCGACTCGTCGTAGTGTGCTCGACGGAACGAGGGTTCCCCAATTTCCACTGGGATCATGGCGTCAGATCCGTAGACTAGGCGAAAAGGAGTTTCTTGTGTAGTCGACTGGGGCGTGCATCGGTATGCCCATAGTACCTCGGGTAACTGCTCAGCCCATGACCCCTTTGCTTCTCCAAGGAGTTTCTTCAACTCAGCTAAGATGACTTTATTAGCCGACTCGGCCTGACCGTTCGTCTGCGGGTGTTCGACCGATGTGACCTTGTGCTGAATTCCCAGGCCGTTTAGGAACTCGTTGATTTCTGGTCGGTAAATTGAAGGCCGTTGTCGGTCATCAGGGTGTGTGGGACACCGAATCGGGTGATGATATTCCTCCATAGAAATTTCTGGACTTGATGAGCCGAGATACATGCCAGGGGCTCGGCTTCGATCCATTTGGTGAATAGATCCACGACGACGATGAGGAATTTGCATTGTCCCTTGGCAACTGGGAAGGGTCCGAGTATGTCGGCCCCCCAAGTGGCGAATGACCATGCTGGAGGAATGCAATGTAGCTGCTCGGCCGGTTGATGAATCAAGTTGCCATGTCTCTGACCTGGTTGGCATCTCTTTACGAACGTTGCGCAATCGGTGATCATGGTAGGCCAATAGTACCCGGCTCGTAAGAGTTTGGAGACGGTCGTCCTCGCTCCCGAATGCATTCCGCATATACCCTCGTGTACTTCTCTCGTCACGTAGTCAGCCTCGACGGAGTTTAGGCACTTGAGTAACGGGGTAGAAAAACCGCGTTTGTACAACTGGCCGGCAATGACAACGTATCTGTTGGCTTGGGTTCTTAGCCGTTTGGCCTCGGTCGGATCGGTCGGCGTGGTTCCATTTATGAGAAACGCTCTGATTTCGGCTCGCCAATCTTGGGAGTCGTCCTGATCGTCACGGTCGGCATTGACATTTGCAACCACTTCTGCATCGACACTAGGGTGGTCGATCTCTTGCTGAATGATCGTTCTCAAATGGCCTGACTTTTTAGTCGCGACCAACCTAGCCAACTGACCGGCTCGAGTGTTGTCTTCGCGTGGGATGTGCTCGACCGACACCTCCTGAAAGTTCGTCTTCAACTTTTGATCCCTGCACCATCAAAAAAATACTTGTTGCCATTTTCTGGCAAAATCATCACCTTAAAGAATCCCACTTTGAATCCTTTATAGGAGGTAGTAAACGGCTGAAGTAAACAATGCTCCGCCCGAACTAGCGACAGCCATTTCGCTTTCTTTGTAGGCCGACACGAGTAAAAATACAAGAACAAATGGGGAGTCAGCTCGATACCAAGTGTCAGACACAACTGCCGAAATCCTTGCATCGCGGCCCAGCTGTTTGGATGTAACTGGGTCGGTGCAACGTTGAGCAAACGGAGCACACCCATAAAAAACTTGTCAAAAGGAAGAGTCACCCCCAAATCACGAAACAAGTAGTCGTACACAAAAAAGAAGTGGTATTTACACTTCCCTCGGCCAAGAAAAACAAAATCCGATTCTCATGACCCATCGTTCTGGCACGAGTCAAAAAAGAAACCAGATGGTACCTCACGCTCTGGAAGCGTAACAAAATTTTCCGTGTCGAACAGCACAGCGATTGAGCTCTTGTCAGTATACCGAGAAAATACACTCCCCACCTCCCCATGAACCCATCTATAGCCAGGAACTTCTATAGGGCCGAACCGACGCGAAGTCGAACCGACTCGGCGAGTACTCGGTCGGCCCTCGGTCACCTCGAGAGAAGAAACCTCCTCCATATTTCGTGACTGCTCGAACCCCTCAACAATTTCTACGCTAACCGACCTCTGGGTTGCCGAGTCTGAGACCCTTGGGTGAGAAGGCTCACGTGAACCCACCTCGACAGAAATAGCTCTACTACTTCCAGTAGAACCCGCCTCAGAAACCCTATCCTCTACATCTATATTCAAATCAGCCATCAAAACGTACCTTAAATCAGACGTCGGCTTCGGTCAAGAACTTGCAACCAAGGTTGATCTTTACGTCAGCTTGAAGCAATTGCACGCTATCACCAAGTAAACACATTAGGGTTTGGTCCCCACCACCCCTATTTATAGTGTTTCCAAAATAAAAATGGTAACCGTTACTCCCCTAGGGACCGTCAGATCAATATGATCCAACGATCCATGGGCTTCAACTTTTCAAATCCCGCTCATCATTATGTTACCGTTACCAACCCAACGGTTATAACCCTCCACATACCCACGTTAATACCCCACGATTAATGCCCGACGGTTACAGTTCCCCACTCCACCTCAACCGTCATAACATGTAAAGTCATTTTTACCCTTTACGTCCTTACACTCCTCAAGGCTGGGGGCTTGTGTACCGGAAGGACCCTATCGGCCACGTGGATCGGCCATGTGGATCGGCCACGTGGTCTGGCACGTCATGTCCTATCAAATATTGACGTAGCTCAGGTAACATCTCGACTCGGCCACGTGGATCGGCCACGTGGACCGGCATGCCATATACTATCAGATGATACTGCTCAAATACCACTTCGGTCCGACAAGAGACTAAGAACTGTGCTCTTCCCCTATCGGCTCGGCCAGAAGCCGAGAGAGGACGTTTCGGCCGTGTTGTCTCGGCTCAGCCAAAAGTCAGCATCGAATAATTAGAACGACGATTATGATTAGTAAGGATAAGTACATGATTAAGACATAATCAGCCGATTAACATCGTATTACCTAATTTGGTAAATGTCAGAGAAGGCCCACCATGCTCAGGCCCATGTTAGGTATTATAAATAGGTCACACGTAACGAGGTATGTCACTGTTCATTTATTACCCTAGAAAATCGTGCATATCCTGACTTGAGCGTTGGAGTGCCTTTTGCAGGTACCTCCCCCCTCCGAAGAATCCACCTAAAGCTCTCGTTCGGCCCTCCTACATCCCTGAATACTACGAGTGTACCCTCAAGCAGGTACATTAACAATAGAGATTAAAAAGATTTATCTTAAAGTATAAAGATTAAAAAGATGAAAAAGATAAATATAGAGATTAAAAATATTTTAAATTATAAAAAATAAAAAAAAAAGTAAGTGAAATTATAAAAATTAAAAAATATTTTAAATAAATTAAATATAAGTGGTTGCTTCGGTTACATTTCAGATATTAGGAGTTATAATTCTGTTTTAAGTCGTTGTTATGGCTAATAATGAAGGGATGTAATTGATATGTTTTAATTATGCTATCTATATAGAGCTGTTTTCTAATAATATATTATAAGCTCCCATGCACATTCATGGTGAATGTACATAGGAAGAGTTTGAGTAGAACTAATTTTTTTTAAAACTGAAATAATTAATGTAATTAATGTATTAAAATGTTGTTACAGTTTACAATATTAATTTTTTATTATTTTTATTTTATAAGAATATTATTTTAGATGAAAATCTTTTAGATTAGAAATTTTAAATATTTTATTTTAAAAATATTTACATAAAAATATTAATATTTTTTATGTAAAATTATGAGTAATTACATTTTATATTAATATAATAAATAATAATTTTTATAATTGCTACTTGTGATAGTTTAGAGAAAAAAGATTGTTGTAGAAATTGTTAACTATACTAATGTGCTTTTTTTTCTTCACTAATAATCATCATTATTTTTAACATAAAATTATTTTTATGCAAAATTTATAATTATTTTAAAAAAACTGTAATAATTTAAAATTAATATGACTAATATTTTATGGTACCGTTATAATTTCTTATATTAATAGATTATTCTATTTTATAATTATATAAACAGTAGAATATTGATTTGATTTTATAAAACTTATATATAAAAACTTGCTGGAAGAAAGTTTTGGAGGGAAAATATTATTTATTCTCTTTATATTATTAATTAATTAATAGATAATGTAGTACAATAAATGTACTATCACCCCATGCAGAGTACTTATTTCATCTGCCACTGGTCAGAAGAAATGCCTAAGGAAAGAAATTCAATTCAATGACTGAGTCTGACTACGTTTATAAATATGGAAATTTTTTATTTTTCTAATATAAAAAATGTATATTTACCTAAATTAGTAAATCGTTACTGTATTTCGAGTTTGTGACATTTAAATCAAGGGTTTAAATTTTGAAATTGTGACACATGTTGTGAGCAATTCCCAGTTGAAATTGTTGATCCTGAGATCTTATCTTTAACATCCATGACATGACTTCCCCACGCAATGAACATCTCTTCTCCACTGCAACTCATTTCTTTAAGATTATCCTCGCAACACATGGAAGACTTGTAAGCATCATTACTTTCTACTTGTTAGAGTGAACTTCATCTTCATGTTTAGCACCATAGTTTGTTTTTCAAAACTAGGTTTATGTTTTCTATTTCGATAAAGTTTTATATTTCTATTTTCAGTTCTTAGAAGAAGAAAAAAATTAGCTCATTTTTAGTATTCTGTTTGTTTCTTCATCTATATCAGTCTACTGGAGTTGAAAATTTTGTCCATTCTTTGTTGATATTGATGATGAAAAAAAAAATTAGTGGTTAAAAATGACCAAAAAATAATAATAACTGAAAAAAAAATCTAAAATTTTACAAGCAACAAAATAACATATTTAACCCATTTAATAAGACTAATTGTGATAAGAGATTGTATAATGTATATGTTTATTTAAGTTCAAACTCTGTTTCAATTATTGTAATTATTATTGATAAAAAAATTATTTAAGTGCTGGAATAAAATTATATTAGTGGAAGAAATGTCTGGGAATAATAAAGATTAGAAGTTTTTTAAAGAAGAGGTTGTGTATATAATTGATCTCTTCTTGACTTGGCTTGATACAAAGTTCAAGACATCACCTCTATTTATATTAGTTGTTCTTCTTAAATCAACGATGAGAATTTTGTTAACACAATCTTAATTTAATGATTACAAATGATTCAATAGAGTATTCTTCAAATATCTAAACCTACTTACATATTCTAGAAAATCTAAATCTTATTCTATAAATATCATCAAAAAAAGATTTTTCTAAATTATACTTCTAAAATTTAACCTTAAATTTTTAGAAATTAGATTTTTAATTAGACAAATAAGATCCAAAATCAAATTTCTATTTCCACATTAACATTAAGTACTTTATCTAAATATTAGCACTTCAATATCTCTTCACACTAGATCTTGGATATACACAAACTAAAGACAGCCATTTGCGCTTTATCTTTGTGAGTTTCATTATTATGCTAACAATAGGATCTCTGCAGAAGCTTCCAAAAGCATTCACAAGAAAATATGGAGATGGAATATCAAACCCTGTGTTTCTGAAGTCTCCAGATGGGACTGAATGGGAAATACATTGGAACAAGCATGATGGTGAGATTTGTCTTCAAAAGGGTTGGAAGGAGTTTGCCACATTTTATTCCCTAGATCATGGGCACTTGCTGTTGTTTGAATATAAGGGAACTTCTCATTTTGATGTGCACATATTTGACAATAGTGCCCTTGAAATAGACTATCCTTCCCATAATGGAAAGGACAACATTACTGTTGAATATGTTGAAATTTTTGATGACCAAAAGACTAGAGTGAAATCAACTCTATCATCTCCTCAACCTTGTAAGAAAATGAAAACGAGCATAACTACAAATGTTGAAAGAAGCACCAATGGGGTAAACTTGCATCAGCGTGTCCAAACCAGAAGTACTAGCTCTCAAAAGGCAAAACTAGATGGTATGCATGTCATGATCAGATTCAGTTCTAAATCATTTTGTAGATCCAATTTTCTTTTAGAGACCAATTTTTTAAGAAATGTGAGTTAGGAGTCTAATTCAACATTACAAAACTCACTTATAAGATGAGGATACTATAACTTGGTCATACTCTTTGCAATATACAATTTTTTTAACAAATTTTTTCTAGCTTACCCTTTGCAATGTTCTTTTTTTCAGAAGATGAGATTAAAATGGTGCAGTTAACTTCTACCTCTTTAAACAAAGCAACAGCTGTCAGATCTGAACATCCATCTTTCAAGCTTGTTATGAAGCCACCCTATATTAATGGATATTACCTGGTGAGCATTTGATTAAAAATATGCCTTGGCATGAGTTAGCTTCTTTATAAGGATGTTGCAGCAATTCATAGTGCTTATATTTCTACATTGTAAATGAAAAACTCTCAGGATATACCACCACAGTTTTCAAAACAATATTTGAAGAAAACACATGCAGTTGTCCTCCTTAGGGTCTTGGATGGGAGAAGTTGGCCTGTTATTTATTCTGCTCCTAGAATTAATGGGGGGTGGCAGAAATTTGCGTTGGAAAATAATTTGAATGTGGGGGATGTTTGTGTTTTTGAGCTAATCCAGGAGATCCATAGCATTGCTTTCACAGTTTCCATCTTTCCAGGTGCAGAGAAACCAAGTTGCCCCATTTCACAAGGTAATCCATTATTCTATTTTATCTACAGGATTTCCAATCAGTTCAAGGAGGTGCAGTTAATTAGACTTAACTCATTGTGAGGGATTCACTTTTGAGAGTAATAAAGTTAAGAGTATAGCTATGAGTTGAAAAGCTAACACTTGAAATTTAAACAGTTGCATAATTTATTATACATATGTATCCATTTGATCACAATCTTAACAGTTAATTTTCCAGTCATTGTCTATAGCTCACATGGCTTTTGATGAGTCAAATCTTAGTTGAAAAAGAGGATCTTTGATTTTGAATGTAAATCTATTTCTAGATTTTTATTCATAATAGGTTCATACATGTTAGACCTCTTAATATCCAACATGTGTAATTTGTATCTTCGGTAGTTTTTATTACTCTCAAATCTTTTTTGGTATAAAATGGTCGCTATGAGTGTAGAATCTATCACTTCGTGTACATGATTTTAACTTTCATTACTAGATCCATTCTAATGCAGTGACTCTTTTATTACTCTCAGTGAAAGCTAAAACTGAATTCAATGAAAATGCAAAAATAGATCATTCAAAATGCAGAATAGTGCGTCCTTCAACTAACTGGACAGGTGGAAGTTCAAGCCAAAGATCTTCACTGTTGCAAAGTCACACCAAGCCAAAGATTTTAACAACCAGAGCCCGTAAAAAAGCTAGCGAATTCACATCAGAAAATCCCTTTTTCACGGTCACTTTAACGAATCAGAAGAGACTAAAGACACCCAGATGCCCGGTAATGTTTAGTTAAGCACCTAAATATGTTGGTAGGTGTGGAATTTTTTATCTAATGATTCAGAATATGTGAAGACTGAAGGCAAATTTCTTATTGTGGCAATCATACATTTAGGTATATATCTATACAATATGAGCTGTTAGGTTGGATAATCAATGAAGCATCCACTCTGATATAGACATGACTCATGTTCAAAATATAGGATATAAACAAGTTGACTTTTAATTTTCTTTTTCACAACAAGATGTTAGATTAGTGTATAGTTTAAAGCATGTGTTACTAACTCTCTTAATTCGTGTCTAAGCCATGTCAGAAAGGTGTCTAATATGTGTCAAAGATCCTGTCCAAATTGTGTTAGAGAAGTGTTCAAACCAAAGAACTACTAATTTTTAATTATGACATGGTAGAGAGATATTAGACAACTGTCAAAAACGTGTCTCAAAAGTGTCATGTCTAAAATGTGTCAGACATGTTGACATATTTTTCGGTAGGTGCTTTTGTGCTTGTTAGAATAGTGGATTAAGCCTAACTCAACCCTACAAAACCGGCTTGTAAGGTGAGGTCTAGTCGATGTGGGACTTGGGTTTTTCCCAATACACCCCCTCACGTCCAGCACTATTGGGCTTGGTACGTGGATAAATGGTGGGTGGCCCTTTTTAATGATCTAGGATTGGCGGGACTTGAGTTTTTTCCCAATACACCCCCTCATGCCTATGGCACATGCATCAATGGTGGGTGGCCCATTTAAAGTGGATCTAAATGGCTTTGATACCATGTTAGAATAGTGGATTAAGCCTAACTCAACCCTACAAAACTGGCTTGTAAGGTGAGGGTTGCTTTCCACTTATATATTATTCAATTGCCTAATCTCTAGTCGATGTGGGACTTGGGTTTTTCCCAATAGTGCTTTATAGTGTATAATTAATTCCAATAGTCGGAACAAACTATTAAAAATAACAAGCACATATATTTAATTTTGTTGTTTCATGAACAAGTATTATTAATCTACTTTTTCAAGAATTGTTTGGTTTTGTTCTGATGCAGTATGTGCCTAGTGAGTTTGTGAGAAAGTATTTTGTAAAGATGAAGCAGAATGTGATGATGATACAGTTTAAAAAGAAAGTGTGGCCTTTAAAGTTTGCATTTCATTCATGCGCTGTTTCGGGCATGTTGGCTGGTGGTTGGTCCTCATTTGCAACTGAAAATGAACTGCAACATGGAGATGTTTGTATCTTTGAGCTCGTCAATAGAGAAGATACAATACTTGATCTTCATGTTTTCAGAAATCATTGTAAGGTAATGCATTAGGGGTTGTTGGCTTTTATAAAGCTTTTTTTTAGTATGGTATATTTAGCACTCAACTCATCTTCTATGACATGGCTTATATCTCAACCGAGAGATGCATGTCAAAGGATTTGACTTTATCGTTTCAATGTATTTGTGTGCATATATATTGCATGACATGTATTTTTATATTATCTTATGTGTACTTATGATTTCATCAGAGACTCGTTAGTATTTTTATAGTAAATATTTTGTAGAATGATCATTCAAGGAGATGTATTGAATCGAGATTTCAAAATATAATTTTAGCATGAAAAAGTGTAAATTTTATTAAATTTTAAAAGATTTTATTAGAATGTCATGACTTTTAGGATTTCTTTAAAAGATTTTTAAAACTTAGATCTTAATCAAGACTTTGTAATTTAGATTCTAATGAATTTTGATGATTTATATGATATTTTAAAGAATTTTATGAATATTATAGGAAAACATAGATTTGTAATACTTCAATATTTAATAATAAAAATATAACATAAATAATAAAAAATAATAAAACAAACACAATTTTTCTATATTTTGATAAATAATTGACTTTAATGTCCTCTTAACTAACATTTTTTTACATATCTAAAGTTATATTAGTATTTAATGCATTGCAATATTCTCTTTCATGTTCTTGAATCTAAACAATATGTTTAAAATTATAGTTTTCATTAATCGGTAGTATTGAAAATGAAGATTCATATATTAATTCAATTAAAAATTCATTAGAACAACATTTTTTTTTTTGAAAAAAGTAATGTAATGCTACATACTAGCATAAGTTCAACTTGTGTCTTAAATAGAAAGAGATCCTGAATACTAAATATATACTCAATCACATTTCTCAAAGATGCATGACGTAAATTAAAAATCTCATTTTCATTTTGAGGTGATTACAATGACTTGCAAAGTTTTTTAATATATGTTTCAAAATTTTATATTTTAATATTAAATATAATTAAAAATAAACAGTTAAAAATTTAATAATTTAAAAAATTGAACAATAGGTAGTATTTAATAATACAAAAATTATTTTAAATATTTAATAATTTTAAAAAATATTGATAAATTTGATAAAAAAAATTTAAAAAAAAATATATAAGAGGAGGAAAAGAAGAAGAAAAGGAAGAGATAAATAAGAGAGAAGAATAAAAGAAAAAGAGAAGAAAGCTAGAGAAAGAAAGAGAAATAGTAGCAAGAAAGACCAAAGAGAAGAAGAGAAAGAATATGAGATGAAAAAGAAGAAGAAGAAAATATAAATGAAAGAGATAAATAAAAAAAGAAAAAAGAAAAAATGAGAGAGAGAAAAAAAGAGAGAGATGCAAGAATGACAAAAGAAAATGGGAGGGGAAAAAAATATGAGAAAGAGAAACGGCAAGAAAAAATAGTTAAGAGAGAGAAAAAAGAAAAAGAAGTAGAAATAGAAGCAAAAAAACAAAATTATGTAAAATCTAAAGAATTTTAGTGAAAATGTTTGTTCGATAAATTACATGTAAATTATATTAAAATATCTTACAAGATTTAATATTCAAAATAATTCATTAAAATTTTTATATTTTTTAATATCAACAAGACTTTTTTTAAATAAAAAAAAGTTTTAATTGAATATAACTATATTTTGACAGACTCTTGAAAAAAATCTTAATTATCTTTATTGAATATTACATAAGATTTTTATATTAAAAAATATTTTAATTAAATACTACAAGATTTTTTATAATAAAAAAAATTAATCAATTGCAATCTTAATCAATGCATCCCTAATTTTTTTTTTTTTTAAATGGACAACTCATTATTGAATTTTTACTTTGTTGTACCCTTCATATTTAATATCCTTTTGTTAAGAATTTTTCATGTTGTACTCGTGGATTTGGAAAATTTGATTATCGCTGAGGCTCTTTTTTCTTTTTTAATATTCCAATAACCTAATAGGAACCACTCTATTTTTGGAATTGAGTTCTTTACCATTGATATCATCATAAATTCATTTCTTTTAAGGTTAATAGTAAAAAAAAATGTAGATCGAGTTTTTTTTTTTTCTTTTGTTGCGTAGTATGAACAATCTTATCCCAGTTACAACCATGTCACACAAAGAACACATTTAGTTCTTATCTCAGAAGAGGAAAAACTGTAATGACAGAATGTGCCACGTCAGCAACACTATTATTACTTGTATACTGTAGTGTGAGGTTTTTAATTTGTTTTAAATATATTCATCCATAACTTATTTATGTAATTTGTTAGTTAAATATTATAGTGTTCTACTGTGTCAAAGCCCCAATTTATTTTTAGTGGTAGAGAATTTGCGATAATATGTAAAACATAAGTTCGAATTTTAGTATTGTGATTTTCATTTTGATATATAAAAAATAAAATTTTTTCATATTCATACTATTTACTTCCTATTGGCATCAAATTGTTGTTTTGTTTTTTTCATCATTTACATTTTTTTATACATTTAAATTATGATTCGTAAATTAAATAATGATTAATATTAATGTTATGAATAATTGAAATAATGGGACCCATCATTTGTATATATATGACCCTAATTCTTTTTTTTTTTTTTTTTTGTCGCATTAGGTACATATTTATTAGTAACTAATTTTTATATATTGATTTTTTTTCTCTAGTTTATCCAAAAACACATTTAGCTCATTTGTAAGGAATTATTGACGTCCTAAAAAAATTACTAATTTAATGCCTATAAATTTGAAAGTAAAAATAAATTGTCTTCGAAATGAATAGCAGTGTTATTTTCCATGTGGTTTTGTATGCCGAATCACAGTTCATGTCCTAAACCACGACTTATATATATAAACGGAAGTAAATTCTAGATGTGAAGAATAGTTTTTAATATTTTTATATGCTGAAACTCGACTTATGTATGTTAAGTATGATTTATATGGGAAACGAATTCTATCCGTTTTATAAAAAAGAAATAGTTTAATAACGGGTAAGTTTATAATTTAATATTATTTTACATGTTACAATTTTTAGAGTTTTTTATTCAAATAATATTATTTTAAAAACAATTTACCCAAATAGTAACTGTGCACATTTATTTCCCCAATCGACACTATTTACTGTTCACGTTCAGAACGGGCCGTTCTATATTAAAAAATAATACATGACGAATGGATCAGAAAGGGCCGTTCCAGATTCAAAATTAGCATATAAAAAGTGGAACCAGAACGGGTCGTTCTAAACCTAGAACAGACAGTTCTGGCCTATAAATAAAAAAAATTTGGTTCGATTTTCACTTATTAAATACCAAAACTCAGAGACTACCATCAAGTGATTAAATTTATTGAATATTAACATTATAAATATAACTAAATAAATTTATTAAAATTCATTACAACAATAAAGATCAATGGTGGTGGAAACTGAATTCATAACCAATATTTGGATATGTCTTCCTAGTGTGACCAGGGGTGTGACCATGCAAGCAAGGAATATGAACTTTCTAGAAGTTGCCGCAATCACACTACATTACATTTAGCCTTACTGTAAATCTCCCAGTAGGTCATGCGAGCAAGGGATATGAACTTTCTGGAACTTGTCGCAATCATACCATATTTCATTTAGTCTTACTGTAAATCTTCCAGCGGGTCAAACTTCTCTGAGATGTTGCATTTCATCCAACTTTGTGGCCAAATCCAGAACTCAAGAGAACTTTCAAGGGTCGGCCAAAATCTAGCAGGATTAGAACATAGATGAATATTAGAGAACAACATAATCGTGTAAAAAATTATTCATATTGTCACACTCCTGGTCACACTAGGAAGACATATCCAAATATTGGTCATGAATTTAGTTTCCGCCACCATTGATCTTTATTGTTTTAATGAACTTTAATAAATTTATTTAGTTATATTTATAATATTAATACTCAATAAATTTAATCACTTGATGGTAGTCTCTGAGCTTTGGTATTTAATAAGTGAAAATCGAAAAAAAAAATGGTCTGAATCTGTAGGCCAGAACGGCCTGTTCTGGTTTCACTTTTTGTGTGCTAATTTTGAATTTGGAACAGCCCGTTCTGATCCATTCGTTATGTGTTATTTTTTAATCTGGAACGGCTTGTTCTAATTTCAGAACAGCTCGTTCTGAACATGAATAGTAAATGGTACTAGTTGGAGAAATAAATTTACACAATTGTTATTTAGGTAAAAAAAATTTAAAATATATATATATATATATATAACTTATCATTTTACTTTATTTAACTATGTATTTTTAAAATATTTTATGTTATAAATATATTTGCATTTGTACATAACTTCAATCTATACCTAAAAAAAAGTGTATATGACTTAGATATGTAAGTAATGCGATATTGACTTAGTGTAATAATTCATGCCTTTACACTAATACTAAATTTTTAATTTCTTCCATTATTAAATATTTGTAATCTATTTTTTTTATTTTACAAAATCATAGATAAGTATATATGAAGATAAATATTTAAAATATACATATATACATATAATTATAAATTTATATTTAATATATATGTGTGTGTATTAAATCATGATTGTTTGTAATAATTAAATATATAATTATTAAATAAATTATTTTATTTATTAGTTTAATCACTTGGTAATTGATTAACATAATTATAAAAAATATATATATAAATTAATAAATTAGTTTCCATAATAGGTAAAGATTTGAGGGTTGAGAATCCTCAAGACCAAAATTGTGTAATTTAAGTTGATGTCAAGTTTGATCAAGAGATGAATTATATAAGAATTTTGTAAAACTAGAACTTCATAAGTTTCATTTTCAAGAATTCCTATAGATAAGCTAGAGAGAGTAGCTTTGGGACCAAGAAGACTTCTTCTTCATCAAATCCTTCAAAGAGCATATACACTCTTCTCTGAAATTGAGATCAAGTTCTAGAAGCTAATCAAGCCTCTAAAGGGTTCAAATTTGAGAGAATTCAACTCTAAAGAATTTTGGTTGTTCTTCTCTTTTCTCTTGATCTTAGCTTCTAAAAACCTAGTAGAGATAAGAAAAACTTGTTTAATTCTATTACGTGGTTTTAAGTCATATGTTACGCTTTTATGTTGTACGTTATGTTGAAACGCCAAATTAATGGTTAAGTTGAGAAAAATGAAGATTTTTGAAAGTTGGGGTTTGAGTG